AATTGAGAAGTTAGATAGCAGACGATCCAGCCCTAAAGGTAAAAACACTCTCCACTTAATGGCCTGCTTAATCATAACCAAGCGCTGGGATCCCTGGGAGAGGCAAGGAGAAGGAGGTAATAGATTACAGCAGGTGAGAAAGAGAACCCACTAATGAGGCTAGAAAGGGGAGGAAACAGAAAATGGTAATATGTTTTTCTGGGGGCAGAATAGTGGGGCAAGCAGAAAGGGAAGTTTGGTGTGCTTTTCCTTGTAGAGCACTAGCTGTATGCAAGGAGATTTCTGGAGGATTAGAGAGAGTTCCCACAGGGAGAAAATAATAGTTTGGGGTTTGTGGAACTACCCTACACTGCCTTTAAACCAGGGCAGGTGGTTCCTTATTTTGTTCCACAGATGTTCCACGTGCTTGTACAGTAAGACATGTACAGACAGCTCCATTTGGTCCCCTTCCATTCCCTCTGCATACTCCTCCTCTTTGATTTACTATTTTCATTTTGTCATTTCTCTGACAGACAGTAACAAACCTTTTACTTTCTTGCTAATTACTTCAAAATCAGAATACTATTGCTGGGAGAAGTTAAAATCTGGCTGAATAGCCTCTGGGAACAATTACATAGCAGCAATTATGTAGGGATTTTAAATATATACTACATCAAGAGGCTTATAAATGCTTTAAATAAATAAATACGTAATAAAACAAGTGGAATCAGAGGAGGATTTTTAGATTTCTCCTTTATAGGCTAAGTGTGCCTCATCTTTCAGCCTTTCCCTCAAATGTAGCATTTTTGGATTCAATTTTGCCAGATATACACATCTTTTGCAAGTAATCTTCCTTAATATAATGCATTTTATATGCCATTTTCATTAATATATGATTTTTAATGCACATTTACCCCCCAATAGACACATTTGGTGTATACACTATTTGGTTGGAGTTCGGCTTCACAAAATTCAGAGTTGCACAAATTCCAAAGGATAGGCTGCTTTTTAGTGCACGTATTGTTTTGAAAAGTACAAATTAGGTAGGTTTGCATTAAAATCAGAATCAAACTGAAATTCTACCCCATCCCTCTCCCTAGATGAGTCAAGCTATACATACATACATATAATTATAGCAACAGGTGTATAATGATTCCTTCAATATTGGGAAGGGGTGTCTTGACACATTTTACTGTAGTTTCTTGGCACTCCTCCAGATGACCTGTTGATTGAACATTCATTGCGTGGCCAGGTGGAGACCACCACCACCCCCCGACCCTAGGTGACACCCGGGTGGAATAATGACTTGTGACAGCGTGTTATGGGATTAAAAATGACCACAACTTTATTAAACTTTCAGATGTAGGAAGACCTTGGCTTAGGCATTGGGCGTTTATCCCTCCCAGTCCCCAGCCAGGGATCTGGGGCACATAAGGGTTATCCAATCTATCTGGAGATTGCATCAGAACACCACAGCACTTTAATCCACTTTGTAACAGTACAAAGCTAATTTTCTGGTATGCAGTGGAATCCTTCCCACAAAACGGTGGCAGTCTGGAGGTGAACTACATCAAGTAATAAGTCTACTCATGACATAAAATGCCATTTCCTGCAGTTTGCAATTCACATTTATTTGAACTTTGTTTTACATAAACAGCCTCCCACTTGAGTGACTTCAGATTGTTTTTCTCTCAGTACATTTCAGTTTATCTGACCTTTCCTGGAACATTATGAGAGCTGTACTAAGAAGTGGCATTAAGTGAGTTTATTAAGCCGAGGGTCTCTAATCACAAATGTGTGCTCTGTGGGATTCTGCAAAGCTCATGAACTGGTTTTATAGGAGGGGTATTTATTCTGTGAGGCCATGTGGATCCAAAATGAACACAGCTCTTCTGGAAGTTAAGTTATGTACTTGTATGTCTCATCCCAATACAATGATGGGGTTTTCCGAAGGTTGATGGAGATGAAACCTCTAGCACTGACTGGCTGAGTTGTCCTAAAGTTACAGAGAGGGAGGCGGGCAGAGATTTCTGGCAGCCTTAAAGACTATTTACAGAAATATTGTAAAATTAATGAATGTTAGAATGATGTTGGAATGAAGTTAAGTGGTTTTAGCAGCAATGTTATTAAGGTTTATGTAAAAATGGATTGTTAATAGATGGGAACTTGAAGTAATAATATACTAAGATTAAGGATTAAGATAAGAACAAAAAGGGAAAGGATTTGCTGAATTAATTAACTGATTTGGGATGCAAAAAAGGGAGGTGTGAGGAGGTCTGGGAAACAAGTGAATGAAAGACAAGATATGGAAATACTGATTTGTTTTTAATTGTTATTCTATTTTTTCTGTTTTTTGTATTTTATTTTCTCTTTTTATTTTTGTTTTTTTGTATTATTGTAATTTTGTTTGAAATTTTAATAAATATTATTTTTTTAAAAAAGAGATTTCTGGCAGCCATTGACTGAAGAGACAGCAAAGAGACAGACACGAAGGTTGCAGGAAGGAGGCAGGGCATTGCAGTGACCTAGAAAAGGGGGAAGCAGAGGGCATGGGAAGGCTGTTGTGGTGAGACAAAGAGTGGGCTTAGGAAATGGTCCAGAGCAGTGGTTTTCAATCTTGGGTCGCCAGATGTTGTTGGACTCCCGTTATCCTCAGTCAGCTTAGTCAATAGTCAAGAATGATGGGAATTGTAGTCTAACAACATCTGAGGACCTAAAACTGAAGAACACTGGTTCATTGGAATGAATGGAGTGTGAGGAATGCGAAAATCATTAGTGAGGTGTGCATAGAACAAACTTCAAATGTAAGGCGGTCTGGAATTGTTGCATATTACTTTCGCATAGTCAGTCAAGTATTTGGTTACAGGCCTCAAGTATTTATTTATTTCCCCTGCCGCCACTGTATTTATTTATTTCTGTCTGCCGCCACTGCTTTCTACCTGTTGACCTCTGCATGGCAATTGTGTAGTCAAGGACCCAGTTTACTACCCCATTCCATCAAAAATAATCCTCCGCCACCCCAAACTTTTCCCCCAGGCTGCTCCCATGTCAGAGCAAGTTTCCCTTTCGCTCCAAGTTCCGTGGGATATGCTCAGATTGTCTGCATGAGGAGGCAAAGCGAGGGGAGGGCTGCCAAAGTGTGCCTGGGGTTCTCCTTCCACTCAGATGCATTAGAAATGTATTGTTTTCTCAACTAATCCCGCTCATTACAGCATAATAAAACACATAATAAAAACGTAATTCATTTTTCTTGAGCATTCCATCTCGCAGCATCTTGGCAAGCTATTAAAAATTTGTCTTCATTTTTCTGGCAAGAGCCTTGTACCTTTTCATCTTTAATTTATGAGGGCAGCTTTGCAATTGACAAGTCTTATTGCACCGCAGACTCCTACATTATTTATCAGCCATTGATTGATGGCTCATCCCAGATCCATCCGTGCAATATGCTAAGCTGGAGGAGGCGGGAGGGAACAGGGCAGAAGGCTCACATGGCAAGCAGATGGGGACGAGAGCCTTTGCAGGCAGCACCTGCCCCTCTTCCCTTGGCTTTGGGCTCAATTCTTTTCTCACTCACGTCAGGGCATGTGGTGCAAGTGGATTTTTCATATGTCACAAATATATGTCCAATGTTGGCCAGAGACTTGGTTCTCTTGGTTAAGTCACTATTGATCAGAGGTGGGAAGAAAGATCTGGGTCAACTGATAGAACTCTGGGTGATCTGCTGTAGAATGGCAACGATTTCCAAATCCAAATTGGTTAACAATAGCAGCAACAAAATCACTCTCTCTCTCTCTCTCTCTCTCTCTCACACACACACACACATAGTACAGTGGTACTTCGGGTTACATACACTTCAGGTTACATGTGCTTCATGTCCGCTAACCCAGAAATAGTGCTTCAGGATAAGAACAGAAATTGTGTGGCGGCGGCGGTGGGAGGCCCCATTAGCTAAAGTGGTACCTCAGGTTAAGAACAGTTTCAGGTTAAGAACGGACCTCCAGAACTAATTAAGTTCTTAACCCGAAGTACCACTGTAATGAAATGAAGACTGCAGTAACTGGGAGTGGATTTTTGTGCAGAGGAACTGCAAGCTTCATTCCATTCTGATATTCAAAACAAATTCCAAGGCTCAGAATACTCTCATTCCATGTGTATGTCTTTTACACCAGACTCTGGTTGGTGAATCTCTAGTAAAAAAAACACCAAAGTGGATTCTGCAAGTCTGTACATCCCTGCAGAAAGTGACAAGCCCTGAGCACACAATTCCTCAGTGATACAAATACATGCTTTGAGAACTTGTAAGTTCCCATGTTTGATCTTCAGTCAAAAGACTTCTAGATCAGAGCCTAAGTATTCTTCAGCATGTGCTTCCTCTGCTGTGGAAGAAATATGTAGATTGTTATGCATGATTATCACACATTGAGTTTTTGCTGTTTATACACGCAGTGGGAGCTCAAAAGTGGCCCACAACCTCCTAACACATGCACAAGTTTTTTGTTTCCTTTCCCTTCTTGTCTAGATCACATTCGCTCTCCCACTTTTTGTTGCTTGGTACATCAGAAAGCTTTAAGACTGTAGGCCTGCAAGGAAGCCCCTGTGGTTTTAAATTAGCTTTGCACAGTGCTTAGTAACATTTAAGTGCTCTCAGAATAAATCACGACATGATGCGCTACATACAGGTTGTCTTTTGTGTAGGAATTTTGTAAAGTGAAAAATGGCCTGGAATGTGGGACACATCTTGGAGAGTATACTGATTTCTTTGCTCAAATGACAGCATAGCCCTTCCATGAACAGGAATAATCACTGTAATCATAAATGGATTAACCTTTGAAGAATGTGGGTGGGAATTAGGGGACCCACACTTGGAAGTTAGCAGGAAGCTTTTTGCCTTCATCGCCAGTAGGAGTAATTTTGGTCACATTTCCTTAAAACAAAACTCTGCATTAAAATCTGCTGTATGTGAGCAAGAAACATAGCAATGCATTTTACCTGTCAGTTCAAGAAAACAGCAAAGACATGTGCAAGAGACAGAAATTATATTCTTTATTTGGAAACAGATGCCTTATTTAAAGCTATACAAGAGGTATAACATGGAATCAATGACGATTCCTGCACAGACATTGCTTTGCATTTGGTAAAATAAGCCTCAAACATAACCCAACACAGTAAAAGGAAAATAAGCTGACTCAAACCATTTTAAGCTTGTGAGAGTTGGATCAGATGAGGTCTCATTAAGAGAGTGTGATAAAGAGCATATATAGTAACCCCTGATGGAACTCTGAGGCTCCAGCAAAGATGACATTTAACAAAGGAAGCAAGCATGCAAACCCAGGCGGTTCTGCTCAGATTAAAATAAATGATTTGCTCCAGGGATAAAAAGTACATAAAACTGGATTAAGCCACTGACCTTCATCCACCTTTGGAGAAGGCAGTTCTGGCAGTTCTTTATTCTACTTTGCAGGCCAAACATCATGTGTCATCACACACACTTGTTCCAGTTTAGCTGTGCGTGTGTGTTGCTTAGGTCAAATAAGTGCTATGGACCCTGCTGCTGCTGCTGCTGAAGTCAAGGGCAAAAATGACATTGAACTAAACGTTCTGAGCAAATGGAATCTGATGCTAGATTGTGCAGAATATGCAACAGCATGGACTACAGGGATGGACATTGCTGTAGAGCATTTTATCCCTTCAGACCATCAGCGAAGAGAATTTTTATGGGTCAAATCCACCCAAAGGCATCTTATGGATGCGCTGATTCAGTGCACCTGATCACTACACACAAATCTGATCCTAGCACTGACCAGTTAAGTCTACATGGCAGACAGAAGGAATTGTAGGGTTACAATGCAGGTACCATAATCAACACAGGGTAATACTGCAGAAAACCTCCTGCCCACATTACTTTCTTTATTAGGAGCAAATGTTGATTCAGAGTCAGAAAGTGTGTTTGCAAAAAAATGACAACATCTCTCCTCAAGCTTTCCATTTAAGAAGAAAGCCAAGGTGGGGAGAGGGTGGAAGAAGTCTAGTGCAAACAAACCTGCACCTTTTTGACTGGAATTATGGCAGGCTTCTTCCAGTCCAAAGGGTTTGCTATGCTTGCAAATTGCATACAATTCTGTCAAATGGAAAGAGGCTATAATAATTTGTTGATTTCCACATGACAGCCAATGGGGAGGCACAAAGCTTCAGCTTTTCCCAGATCAGTATTCTGATACGGTGCCAAGATGAACCAGGCAGCCTTCAAACTGTCTGAGCCAAACTGGAGTAATTTCCAAAGTGCTGAATCAGGGTCCAAAACAAACCTTGTGGTTAGTGCACACTCGTGAGTATGGATACTGCTTTAGCAAGTAAAGCATCAAACCAGATACTCAAGAGCTTTGTGCAGACACACCTTCCCAAATGCCAGAACATCATTTATTATTTTATTTATTTTGTAAGATTTATGTACTGCTTGATTGTAAAAATGAAACAAAACCTCAGAGTGGTTGTCTCAACTGTTCTGGTAAAGTACAGGTCCAGATAAAGAAGAGATACTTATGTGTACCACTATTCAGTCACAGCCACATCCACCAAAGAGAGTCATTTATGCTCTCAGGCAGGTGTGACCATTTTCTACCTGACAAATCCACCCAAGTAAGTATTCACTTGGAGCAACAAGGTAGGTGCTTAGAAATTTGGGGGGTGGGGTTAGGCATTCTCCAAATAAATAATGAGATTTCTACTTGCACAACAGAATTCTTCATATTGCTCTTCCTTCCTTCTCCATGTGCACCCAAGGCCTCCCCATTCGCTCTTGAAGGTTGGGAACCCCTAGGACAGATTCAGGGGACGGGGGCACACAGGGAGAGAAGAGGGAGTAGAAGTTCCTTTGAACAACAATAAGTATGTTCCAGCTCCACTGTCAGAGACATTATGCCTCTTAATACCAGTTGCTGGAAAACCCAGGTGGGCAGAGTGCTGTTAGGCTCATGTCCTGCTTGCATTTGTCTGCAACTATGAGAATAGGCCATTGGCTTGATCCAGTAGGCTTGTATTGTGTTCTTAAAATGCTTGCACCAGTGGAACCACTTAGTTGGATACCACCCATGGTATTAATGAAAGGTTTGGGGGAGTGAGTGTGTGGAAAGGGTAAACAGAACAGATTTCTTTCTCGGTCTGGGAGGTGAAACCACCAGGCCCCATGAGCATGGGGTTGCTGCTGTCACAACCCTCACCTGATCCAATGAAGCTGGCAGAAGTGATGCTCCATTTGGATGCCATCCCTATCAATTGCCCTGGGCCTTCAAGCAAGCTATGCAACCGTACAAAATATTGCTGTGGTTATGCTAAAACAGCTAAGCAGAACATAAGGGGTGAAGCCTCTACATATATAGACACATCCCTTCCCACTTTATGTGAAATTCTGTGGTTTCCAAGGGGCAGATAAGGGGCATGTTAGGATCAGCTGATTTCCATGATCCAATCTCCCATAACATAATTATGCAAACATCAGATCTTTGCTTCATCTTCGAAGCATGTGCTCACCTCCGAATAGAAGATTGGTGATAGAAAATCCACCAACCTGTTTGAATTTTAGCGGTTTCCTGCTAACTCAATATGGTCAATTGCTTGCTTCCCTATGTAGGAAGCAGTGTGCTTATTTGACTAGCACTCACCCTGCATCATGGGTTTTGCGGTTTCAAGGCTGCACGTACTGTCATTCTCATACATTTCTCTTATCAGCAAAGTATCAGAACAGCAAGAGAACGCAGAGGTTCTTGAAAAAACATGTTTTGGTTTACAAAAACAAAGGTTGTCTAGAGACAAAACATCTCAAGAACGTAGGTATTGCAGAAACACATGATGCTCTTATGTGGGAGAGTGATTTCCTTTACCTCTGAATACATGAAACTCCAACTAACCAGGACAGCAAGTTGCCTTCCATGTAGCAACTGATTCTCAGGTGTCCCATGGATTTCTCCTCTTCCCAAACATTTCTCAAGGTTATCATTCTTAGGATAATACATCATTAAGATTATAGTGCACATACATCCACACCTGTACACATACCACTGTAGAACTATGTGTAATGTAAGGATTTAGGCTTAAGGACTTCTTTGCTCCTGAAACCCAAATGGGTCATCACTGGAATGTTTCTGCTTTGTTCAGAGTATGAACGTACATCACTGCAACTGCCACACTGCCACATTACAATCTACCCTAGGGTTCACCTGAATTCAGGAAGGTTACATCATACACATAGGGCCTGCCATGACTTGACAGCCAATAAGAAAGCAGCATATAAAAGGGATTATACTATTACAAAGTGTAAATTCCTCCTCAGGAGCACCGGATCCCTGGTTCTTCTACTTCTTCCTGTTTGTTTGTTTTTACTCCATACCAGGGTAGCATGAGGAAGCTTCTCTCAAAGCCCTTTATTAAAGTAGACAACCTCAATGTCAGAGTTTTTCTCCCTGATCAGAGCTTGGACTTCAGGTTCCAGGCGGCTCACCCGCATTGAGCTGGAAAAAGGGAAACAAGATGTTTTTCTAGTTCTTAGGGCAAAGGAGAGAGTAGGAAATGGAAAGCAAAGTTATGGGGCAGGGCTATCTCAAGAGGTGCACAGCCATGCTCTGAAAAATGGGCTATGACCTCCCATGTCATGTTTTAAATCAGCAGTAGGCTAGTCTGTATATTATGGGGAAGAGATGCTTACAGTGTGTCCACCATGTATGCTTCTGGAGAACACCACAGTCGAGGAAGGAGAAACCGGGTCCCAAGCATGTGGTGACCAGAGGTATCTTCTTCAAACTTAATGTGGGATGCTCTTTCCCACACTGTGTGGCATTTCCCCCAACTGTGGCATTGCCCCCATTTGAAAACCTCCCAAGCAGAAAGGGGGAACATCTGTGACTCCTAAGCTTAAGACAGGATCAGGCTTCAAGACTGTAACACACCAGCAGGGCATGAAAACCGTAGCAGCACAAACATTAAAAAGGCCATGTTTTTCAAAATCGCGCTTCTTCCTCCACCCACCCCGGCAGAAAAAGAAAAAGAATAAACACCCTTTCAAATTTTGAATTGAAAGTAAACAGTTGTGAAAATGTTGACTTTGGACAACAAAATATTTAAGAAAAGGAAAGAAACAGCTTATGAGGAACACCCCATTCAAAATTATACAGATTCAGCACTGAAACTTGCATTCAGTGCTAGGTCTACTCAGAACAGACTGCCTGAAGTTAATGAGCATGACCAACAGGTCCATTAAGGTCTATGTGACCCATGAACAGTACCCCAAAACGAGCATTTTGGGGCACCAAAATCTCACATGAGAGCACAGCCCCTCCAAACGGCATGTCCCAGACAGTTGATAGGTATGTGCCACGAAACCCCTGGGTGGCTGGACCCCAAATAGACCCCGGGAACCACTCTCATAGAACATAACATGCAATGGCATGCTTACCTTTTCTGGGGGAAGAGTGCACAGCAAAGGGGGGTAGCGAACACCAAACTGGAAGAAAGGAGACAGGAGAGGAGTCACTTCTGCCTTGGAGGATGGGCAAGGGAGTCGCTCTGGGGGGAAATAACCCTCACCCCCCTCCCATGTTGCTCTAGGCTGCTTTCTTGCTCCCAGTCAGAATTGTGGGTGCCGAACAACACACCATGGAGTGCAGTATCTTGCATCCCAATCAAAGCTTTTCTCTTGTGCCTCCTTCACCAACCTGGAGCTCTCCAGATGTTTTGGACTACAACTCCCAACGACAACTCAGTGTCATAAACATCTGGAGGGCACCAGGTTGGCAAAGGGCCCCCAACCAAATTTCCTGGAATGGGGATCTAGTCAAATTTCCAAAAGGAATAGCACTATGTCATGAAAACTACCTTGCCTGATCCATTACAAATAAGCTGGGTACCATGTTATTGTCATTTCAATGGGGCAACCCACAAAAGTTGAAATATTCAGAATGGAACAGGTTGCCACTCAGAAATTTCAACACCTTCAAGCTGAGATACATTGATAGGAACTGGTAGAATTTCTGATCAGCCTAAAGGTCAAGTCACAGTTGCCAGGGAAGAAAATCCAGAAGGGCCATGGAATGTGGGTCCCCGTGCCTGATTCCCACAATCATACCCTCTCAGGAGATTACCTCACTTGCTCCTGTAAGCCAAGTGCTATCTGGTTCTAGTCAAAAGCCGTGTTTCTTTATTATTTATTTATTCCATGTTTGTCTTGTCTTTCATCCCAGGAGCTCAAGGCTCCTAGGTCATCATGGCCCAACCAGCTACCCCCAATTTTAGCCTCCACAATCAGGTTGGTCTGAGGAAAAGTGAGTTTCCTGGCTGAGAGAGAATTTGAACCTGATTTAACATTCAATTCCTCTTCACAGGGAACTCTGGAAATTGTAGCTTTTTTGGCGGGGGGAATAGGTGCCCCCTAACAAACTCAGCACTGTAAACAAACTACAGCTCCCAGAATCCTTTGGGGGAAGCCGTGACTGTTTAAAGTGGTATCATGGCACTTTATAAACACACAGTGTGAATGTAACCACGGTTTGCACTGACACTCTTCTCAGAGAGCTCTGGCAACCTGGTCTCTCCTCCTGATGTACAATACTCCAATTTGCACAAGGGAAGAAGCACACTTACCACAGGCCCACCAGCCCAACCTGCAGAGGAGCATTCATCCAAGGGTACCGCTGGAAGGAAACACAAGGCGTTGGTTTGTGCTCAGTATCTACATCCATTTCCAAAGCAGCTGTTGTCGCTTATTGCTTACAGAGCTGCAGTCATTTACCCAGCAGGAGCACTCATACATTTCTTGGGGAAAATCCTATGTGGCACTCCAGATAGTGCTAAACTACAACACAGTCTCAGCCAGCATGGTCAATGGTCAGGGATGATGGCAACATCTAGAGGGCCAAGGGTTAGCCACCCCTGCTTAAGAAGCTTTGAATATTTGTTTGTAATTGTCAACAATTGACCCTAGCATTTCCAAGATGGCAGTCAATACACCTTCTAAGAAATTAAACTCCCCTTCCTGACCAGCGTAAGAAGAGCCCTGCTGGATCAACCCAAAGGCCTTTCTCATCTAGCACTCTGTTTGCAGAGTGACCAGCTGAACACCCTTGGGAAGCCCACAACCAGGACATGAAGGCAATAACCCTCTCCTGTTCATGAGGGTTGAGAAGTAAGCTGAACACACACACAAATATGGCTCATCTCAGGAAAGCAACCACATCCTTCTCAGCCTATAGGAATGGAGGCCTGGGAGCTGAACTAAGATCCAAAAGGACCCACCTTCAAAAATGCTCTCTTCTCTAGCGCGTTCATGATCACAGGAGGGATGGCTATAAGGAAAATGAGGAAGGAGAATATTAAAGACACAGCCAGCCAGCCAAATGTCTCCTGCACGTTTTGGATCGGTTTTAGGGTTGTTGTTGTTTTATTTCTCTAGGACTTCCTGGAATCCATTCAGGATACTCGGAAACTAAGATCACAATGAGTAGTTCACAAACTTAAAAGCTCAGAGGTGTCCCAACTGGCAATGGAATTTGATTTATGGCTACATTCACATGGCAGTTTATTTCATTTTCATGACATTTCCCTAACTGATAATTTCCACATTATATTTATGCTTTCACACAATGTAAAAGCCACTTCCAGAACTATAGTGGAATACAGCACAAGTTAAGCACTGGTTTCTATATTATTTGCAAATGTGGAAACAAGCACTTAACTTGCACTGTGTTCCACTACGGTTCCAGAAGTCGCTCTTACACCATGTGAAAGCTCAAATATAATGCAGAACTTAGAAGTTAGGGGAAAGCCATGAGAATGGAATAAACTGCCATGTGAAGGCAGCCCAGATTGTCATTTTGTTTTTGCCCTGCAAATGCCAACAACTTAAAACAGGATTTCTACCTTGCTAGAACCTTTCAGGAGATAATGACAAAATAGCACAGCATGTATGCACCAAAAGCAGAACTAAAATTAATGGGCTCTTCAAAATGCTTAATTTTTATGTCAGATATTCTCCGGGCAATCTGTGAATGCTCAAATGGGAGCAAAGGACACGAAGGGTGCTCTTCACCCTCTGTGCTGTCTAGCCCCTGCCGACAGGCAGGCACTCGTGCGCTGGATCTCTGCGGTGGAAGGGTGCCTGGTTCGCGCCTCCCCAATTGTGCGCCTGGGACAATGGTCCCCCTGGCACCCTCCCAGGCTACACCACTGTACTGCCCTCCATCAGCAGATCTCAGGGCCCTTTTAAATTAAAAGTGCCAAAGGTTTAACCTGGGCCCTGCTACATGCAAACATGTGCTCTGCCACTGAGCACATCAATGCACATCAAGCATCCAAATTAATTAACAGTTAATAAGAAACACTCCTCAGTTTATAATATTTCATATCTGAATCTAACAAAAAAATTGGGAGAAGCCAGCAAATCAAAATCATTCACATTTCCACCCATAAAAAAGTATCATCCCTTATTGGCAAAGCTGGAACTTCAAGTATTTGCTTCCGCTCTCGCCAAGGGCCACTGCCAATGCAGCAGCTACTTACCCATGGCAGGTGCAGCCATGCCAATTCGAGACACCACCACTTGTGCAATGGCTTGCTGAGCGGCTGCCTTTGACTCACCCAACCGATTTCCATTCTCGTCTGTAATGGGGATACCAAGCTTTAGCTCCCTGTAAAAATGGTTAGGGGGGGGGAATACAACCCTTTATTGTCATTTTCAGCCTCTCCTTTCTCTTGCTGCCAGATATGCAGCAAGTCTTCTGAGTCCTAGTTGCCTGTGCTTCCTGTCTTTCTAGACCAGGAACAGAAGTATTAAACTAGGCTTCAACTCCAGATGTTGTTTTGGATTACAAATCCCACCCACCCACCAGCTAGCACAGGACCACGTCTGTCCTGCTGGATCTCCAAAAAAGGATAGTCTGGAACAATGTGGTATAGGACCATGGAACGATGTGGAGTAGCTCCATCACATTATCCCACCTGACCACTCCCCATGAACCAAACCATCACCACAGCAGACACTGTTCAGACATGAGGACAAGGCATATCAGGAGATTGTGCAGGCATAATACAGCATGCAATGCATGTGAGACCCATGGCTCCACTCTTCATTACACTTTTTCTCTACTCTTCATTATGTTACCTCCTCTCCAACGTCTTCCACCTACTTCAAAACCCTAGCTCTCTACCCTGGCTCTGGCACATGATGCAGCAATCTTCATAAAGCTAAGCAGGTCTCGGTCTGGTCGGTGCCTGGATGGGAGACCTTTGTATATCGCCTTGAATTACCAAGTAGGAAAAGATGAGATACAAATAAATAAAAGGAGCTATATTCTCAACTACAGTAACAAACTTATCACAGAAATGTAGACGTTGCTTTGTAAATAGCTAGAAAGCTTCTCTCTTCATTCTGGGGGTGGGGGCTCCCCTTACGCAATCTGGTATTACTTTTTACTATGTTCCAAGTCCCCCACACCCTTCATAGATCTATAATGGCAAAGCTTTCTGCTATGCTGTTAGCCTGATGCCAGTTATTGTGGATTCCATATATTATCATAGCTGTGAACACCTCATACTTTCAAGGTCAAAAGACTGAGAAAAGATGCCCAGGGGTGCAGCAATTTAGAATATGCTACTAGCAAGAAATGGCCAAGACCTGGACTTTGGTTTCCCCTTTCCAGGAGGGTGGGCTATGTTTCAGTGTCAGAGGACATGCTCTGCTGGGGCAAAAGGTCGCTGGTGTCTCCAGGCAGGGATAGGAAGCTCCCCTGCTTGAAACCCAGGAGAGACCCTGCCAGTCAGTGTAGACAATACTGAGCTAGATGGCCCAATACTGTGCTATATCGACTCAGTGCAAGGCATCTTCCTAAGTTCCTACCCTCTCCCCATCATGCAGCCCTATCTTACCTCTGCCTCATTAATGGTATGTTGATACAGTTAGCCGCTGCCACAGCTGCAAAAGGCACATAGCGTCCAATGATGGGTGGAAGGTGCTACCGAGGTGGAAGAGTTGAAAGGGAAAGAGAAAGATAGAGGAGACATGTGTTACAGTTTGAATTAACAGCAGGGTGAATTGGCCCAGGGAAAGTGTACCCAGCTGCCCACCCCCCTTGCACAGGTCTGACCAATGCACAAGAGAAAACAGGAAGAGGAACCAAAGATTTGCAGAAGTACACACACACACACACACACACACACACCACTGGAAGAAAACCTTTCCAAACATCTCAGTGAGTGCTGAGCATGCTCAGTGGCCAGGGAATGCTGATAAGCAAATAAGGAAAGAGAGTCACTTGTCCTATGCAAGATCTTATTTGTAACACAAACGTGTGACAACCAAATCTCAAAGAACAGGCATATCCTCCTTGCTGTGCCAGAGCAGACACAGCCGGCGGGTGCCTTACCTTGGTGAGGGACTTGAGGCCCAGTGCTGTGACCACAGCTCCCGTAGTAGCACTGACGTAGGCAGTGCCCAGCTGGCTGTAAAGGAAGAAGGCAACCAGGTGAGGCTAAGATACTCTCAACTTCCTCCTGTCTAGTCCCAGCCCTAATGCTTCCCCTGGGAAAGGTACTCAATGGGTGGGACATGCAGGAACATTCCTATTTCCCGCCATTAAAAATCCCCACCAAGACTAAGCAGTCACACATCTTCACCACCTTTCCTAGCACTGCCAGTGTTCCTTCTTGCCTCATTCCCTACCCGTTTCTGCACAGGAGGTCTCCACCATGGTCTACCTTGCTTTTGACTTCAAGCTTTCCCTCCATGACTCCTGGAAAGCCCAGCCCCTACAATCCTCTCCTCTTGACCCCACAAATGGGACTACCACTGCTTCCTAGGCACACCACTTTGAAGAAATAGCTCCCATGGGTTTTCCTGGGATTTACAATGAGAAAAGGCGAAGAGTGAATTCATTCTCCCAGTGTGGATCCCCACCCACCAAAAATGGCACCCATTCACACACAAGAGGGAGGTATCAGCAGACTTGGGGGAGTCTCAAGTTTTGCAGAAGTTCGAAAGAAAACTTAAGGGAAACTATGAACCAAAGGGACGGAGCCCAAACACAGCTCAGTAAGGACTGAGCATGCTCACTAGCAATAGAATGCTGACTGTTGTAGGGGGCAGAGAAACAGGTAGGAAGGAGGATGAAATGGAGTATCCTGAAAATTGGCTGGCACCCTGAATAGGATTACTCAACAGTGCAATGTTCTGTCATGGCTTCCACTTAAAATGTAATCAGGAAGGAGCTCCTGAACAAATGTGGAATAATCCGAGTCCACACCTATAGCTATCTGGGATGAGGGAGCAGAATTCTTTGGGCCTGATGATCTGCTTCCTTGGCAGGCATGAGTCCTGAAAAGCTACCCTGTAGAGGCAGCTCCTAGAGTGGTATCAGGCAATCCCATGGCCCTCTGGTGCAATTTCCCACAAATATGTCTGCATTCGTTTCCAGGGCTCTTGGGCAGGACTCAGTGTCTTCTTACCTGACGGTTATGGGAGCATCTCCACTCCGGTTAGTGTAGTTGACAATGGCGTTGAATGACTGGTTTACCCATTGCCAGAACAGAACAGCAGGGGTTGTTCTGCAAGGAAAGAGAAAAGTCAGGGCTCCCATAAACATGACAAAAACCAGAATGTTAGGCTAATTCTCAAAGAAGTAGCAAATGAGCTCTATGTACTGATTTGGTGTGTGCTTCTTGTAGCCCCTCCTCCATACATACACACAAAAGCACTCAATGAGGTACACATGCAGTTTCAATGCCACTGTTCCACCACATACACAGCACTTCCTTTCTCCTTCAGATTTAGGGTCAAACTACATCCAACACAGAAAATCCATGAACAGATCTCTTTCTTTTTTATTTCACTAAAACTAGCTTTTTTATTTCATTAACTAGCTGATGTTAGGGGGCAATTTGGGTGAGGTAGGGTTGCTATACGTCCAGGATTTCCCAGACATAGCCAGGATATTGCAGTCGGAAGCGGTGTCTAGGCAGAAATTGCTAAAATGTCTGGGAAAATCCAGATGTATGGCAACCCTTGTTGGCAGTGTCGATTTTCCTTAAAAAATAGAAAGCTCAACAACCTTTTTGTCCGGATTTTCACTTTTTGAAATATGGCAACCCTAGGTAAGGTCCATGGCATGGGGGAAAGTGGGGTTAATTCTTGCCCCCAGCCACAATGTTAGATTGCTCCCTCTTCCTGCCCCAAAGCTGGCATTTCCCTCAGAGGTACTTGCCCATATAGTATTTGTCTTTTTTCCCTGCAACTAAGAGCAACTTGAGCACTGAGGCAGGGGAGAGAGGGGAACAGTGTTAAACCCCTAGCACAGCTGACTGCTTCAAATTAGGCCCTCTAAATTGCTGCATTACATCAAATGTAAGGCTGTTGTCACGCTGCAGTTCGTGTGGCCACCAATAGGACCTTAGAAGTTGTGCACGTACCTGTAGAAAGTGAGCATGCAGCCAGTGATGGTCATGTTCATGGGCACCTGGGCCGACATTCGCCCAATCAGGATCATCTTCTCGCCAGTGTCCGGGTGGAAAGCCGAGTCGTAGATGTATTTTGCCCGCCATAGTTGGTCCTCAGTCAATCCTGGCGACACCTTCCCTTTCCTGAAACAATCAAGAAAAGGAAAGAAGATTGGAGGCAGTTTAGGGAAAGGAGAAGATTTGCTGTGGAGGTTGCTGGGGCAGGAAGTATCAACGCACTGTACTAGGAGGAGGCGGGTCAGTTGGGGTAAGAATAGCTGTATTAGCAATGACCAGAGGTACCCCTCAACATTCCTCTCTATTCATGTACACTGTGAAATGCAAGGAGACCCTTCAAATGGACCAGTTGCCCTGTGGATAGTCTTGGATGGGTTCCTTTGAATGTTCTGATTAATTCAAAATATTGGGTTTGGAATAGGATGTGTAGACAGGGCAATGGTTTGGGACTATACTAATGCTCTGTCACCAAATGGCCAGTAGTCACTGGAGGAGACATTAATACTAATGAGGGAATCGTTAATACTAATATGTTTGTTTGCTAATGGGAACATAAAAGACTGCATTTATGATATATTTATGTCTTCGTTGCACCTATAAATTGATTTGTTTGCTTTTCTTGTGAGCCACTTGGAGCATCCTTTGGGAAAGTGGCCTGTAAATAAACTTATTCTCTAAGCTTCATCTTTCCATCCCTTCTAAAAGTGCATCCCTCTTCCTAGGAATTCGTTCTCCCTGCTTCTGCTTTCCCAGAGCCACTATATTGAAAGTCAACAAGCCACTCCAGAGTGCTAAGAAGAATCTACGAATTCCAGGAATTAGAGGACAGCTAACACCAAGTTAATTCCCCACAACCTCACCCCCTCACTCCCGGCACTGCCTTCCTTGTCATTCTCTAAGGACCAAAGCAATCCCCAGACTAACAAGAGAACCTGTAATCCTCAATCACCCTCCGGGCCTCTTCCAGAGTTTTGCTAGAGAGCAGAAGGTTGCGAGGATCTGTCACCGTGAAGAAGTGCTTTGCTCTCCCTGTGAAGCTGCTCTGGTCCCATCGTGGCTCCTTGGTGTCGATGCGCAAGGACAGTTCCCCAGACATCTTCTGCAAGGAGACAAAGGAGGGAGAGCAAACTCAACTCATGTCACAGTGAGGCTAAGCAGAAGGGTTGGGTCCGCATTGCCAGTGGTAGGTGGGGCCGGAGGCAAAAGCAGTCAGAGCAATGGATGTGACTCTTTATCTTTATACAGCAGGCTAAATTCCATCCACGCCAAAGTCAGAGGCTTCTACCCATACAAATGTCTCTCTCCATTCTCCATTCAGGGAAGCGAGTGGCTGCAAATGGGAGGAAGGGACAGGAAGAATTCCTCCCATGAACTTGATTAAGTTATCTTATCTTAGGGCCCAAGCTTATGTGCTGAAAGTTTGTTTTTCAAAGACCATTAGAACTCACGCACAATGCTCTCCAACAAAGCAGGAACAAGCAAAACTGGGGAAGTTATCAGATATGTACAAGGTCACTTTCGTACCACCTGAAAGCACGACTTTCGCTTTTACTCGCATACAAGGATGTGATCTTCTCACATCTCCACCATTCCCCAAGTTGCTGATATGCTGGTGCTTTGCTCCTGAGTTCCTCCTTACATACATAGGGGATCCTGCCTGTTAAGTGCAAGAGGGTTCTTTGCATCCCATTAGAGAGATTCCTAGCCCTTGAGCCTTCTACACAGCAGAATATGTGCCTAAGCAAAATTGAGCCAGTACAATAAAAACAGGTAAATCAATATACATGTTAAGTTGCTTATTTTCTAGCACTTGAAGCTGAGCTTATAGAGGTTACATCAACACTAAGGCTCACATCAAGATTCACGTCTGGAAATGTTGGTTGCCCTTTAAATCCCATTTGTCATGCCCCTACTGTTACCCAGGCAATGATTAAAATAACAAACATCATACTCCTTGCGTCAAAGAAAAATGTCAGCCTCCAATATTCACAAATTCTCTCTGGAAGGAATAATCCTTTTGGATGGAAACCCTGTGAGGCACAACAGCAATATTCAAAAATAAAAAATAAAAAGCCGATAAAGACTTTATCTGCAGTATTATTAGAACAAATACTCTGAAGCTTTCCTGCAGAGACTGCATACAAAGAACATGCAGAGATACAGATTGAACCTAATAAAATTTCAGGGATTTGAATTCTATTCTCATTAGTGGGTGAAAATGGCATGAACAAGGAAATTAGTCAATTTCATCTGGAGACCAGCAAGGTATCAAGAGGTCACCTCCCCTTTCCTTTTTAACCTGAAAAGCTTCACAAGCATTTTTTATTTCTGTACTTGCTGCTGGTCTACCAAGAGGCCAAAGAGCTGCAGAAGGCAGTTCTATGTTAAAATGCAGCAAATTACTTTAATTTCCAAGAAGCAAACCACATCACTGGGTTCTCCCTCAGACCTTCCATCAATTTAGCTTGTACTAACAGTGGATGATCAACACAATTCCTAGGTTAGGAGGAAAAGTCAAGTCTGAAATCCTCGACTTGAGTAGTTACTTAAGACTGATTCCACATTAATACTATAAGTGTGTCTATACTTGGTGTGTCTATAACCTACCAAGCATTCAGTTTGGCACTACAGCACACAGCCAAGAGTACACAAAGTATATGCCAGCACTTTTTTCCTAGAACCCAGGATATCCCCTGAAGACACATGAGGCCACTGCCTTGCGGCAGCTAAACAAGAACAGATCTTGTCAGTGCCTGGATGTTTGACCACCAGGAACCACATGTAGACCACATGGAACCAAGGTGAGCTATATACAGCATGGGCCAGTGAAGCGGCATGGGGAAACTTTGTGTGGCACATGACAGCAGAGTCAATCTGATGCTCCTGCAGCCATGCGCCAAGTCATTTCCTGAAGAGTGCTCACCAGCCACTACTGACTATAGATGTAAGAAAATTAATAAATAAAAGAAATAGGACATGGCCAGGTTAAAAATGGGAGGAGATGCCACAACCAGCAATGGTCCTACAATGGTCTGCTGAAATCACAGCATGCTTTATGGATCAGTTTGTCCTGGCATGGGTATAGTAGGCGACAAGCCAGCCATGCAAAAAGTAAGGATTTCTACACACCCATCGCTCCATCCATGCAGAACTTGGCCAGTCATCTGTCAGGGATTCTTTAGTTAAGATTCCTGCACTGCAAGGGGTTGGACTAGATGCCCCTTGGGGTCCCTTCCAACTCTACAATTCTATGGTCCTAAGTGATGACCCATTTGCTTATATGAAGTTGTGATGTTTCAAACTAGATAGAAGCCTCTGAAGTAAAGCTGGTGTTTTAAAAATAAAATATATTATCTGGCCAGAAAAAAGCCCTGTAAGAGAAGAGGTGCATGTCTGAGCAAATGGGAGACCCCAAAATAAAGAAAACAGGGAAGTCTTCAGTCTCTCTCTCTGCAGTCCTCTTGGGAGCCAGTGTGGTATAGTGGTTAGAATGCCCAACTGGGACCTGGGAAACAAGAGTTTAAATCCCCATTGGTCCATGAAACTCACTGGGTGGCCTTGGGCCATTCATTTCCTCTCCGCCTAACCTAAATCACAGGGAGGTTGAGGGGACTAAATGAGAGGAGGGAGAGCCATGCGCCTTGAGCTCCTTGGAGAAAGAGGTGGGCTATTAAATGCGAGAAAATGAAACAAAAAGTGGGCCATCCGACAGGAGGCATGTGAAGAAGCTCACGGATGAAAGAAGCCCCACAGACCTTCCTGGGTGCTGAGATTGGCCGACGGAGGGGGGCGCTCTCTTGGTACTTCCTCCACCCTCAGAGTCTGGGGTGCTGGTGCCCCAAGAGAGGCCATTCTCCATGGCAGCCCCTAAGCTGTGGAGCCCCCTTCCCACAGAGATGCATCCAGTACCTTCATCATACAGCTGCCACAGGATGTTGACAGGATGCCACAGGATGCTTGCCTCTGACTTTGACACCTGGGGCATCTAATTTCAGGGCTCACCTTATTTTCCCGGTTGTTAGTTGTTCTCAATTGTGCTTTAATGTTGTTACCCACCCTGGGACCTTGAGGCCAAGGGAAGGAAAGAAAGAAAGAAAGAAAGAAAGAAAGAAAGAAAGAAAGAAAGAAAGAAAGAAAGAAAGAAAGACTCCCGTCTTTCAAGGCTATCCCGCCACAGAACCCGGGGAGTTGGAGGTGGATTGGAGAGGGCTGCTCCGCGTATCCCGCTATGTGCCGCTACCTGTCGCTCGCATCCTCTGCCTGCTGCCCTCCCAGCCAACTCCCCAGATCCCGGCGTGATGCTCAGCAGCTCCCTGGGCACGCGGTGCGCGCAGGGAGTCACCCGCCGGCGCGTGCATGAGCTCGTGACGCGGATGGGCCCCCACCCAAAACCCCGGAGTGACTCATAAAAACGGATGGAGGAGGAGGAGGAAGGGAAAGCGCGCGCGGAGTGGGCGGCATGGGGTGGGGAGGAGAGAGAGAGAGATGGGAACGAGTGATGAGTAATCCGCAGGCTGTGGAGGGAGAAAGGGAGAGGCTGCATAGCGAGGGAGAAGGCGAGGGAGATCCTGGCGCCGGGAGCCCCGAGGCAGAGCGGAGGATGGAGCCGGGAGGCGTCCCCGCCCCGCGAGGGGAGGGCCGGGCTGGGTCGCGATCCCTGCTAGAAGAAACTCACTTGTTCCTCCGAGCGGCGGCGGTGGCGGCTGCAACCCTGTCGCCCGGCGGCTGTGACACGGCGGCGCTGGGCTGCTTCCCGAGGCCGGCCCCTTCCTTGGCTTGTCACGGCGCCCGAGCGTCGCGGCCCCCCTGGCGAGGCGAGAGCCAATGAGCGGCGAGGGAGAGCCGGCCAAGAGGCAGGGCTACGGCCTAGCCAGTTCCTCGGAGCCTGCCGGGAAGCGGAGCCGAGCGGGCGGGAGGCTGGCCGGGGTGGGGCTGCCTGGAAGGGGCGGAGGGGAGAGGCTTGTCCCTGGCAGCCCTCGCGGGGATCGGATTAGGAGGCGGCGGCAGCGCCAGCTGCTCTGGCTGCCGGCCTTTTCCCTGCCTTGCTCCTCGCCCGGCAGGCAAGGTGGGCGCCTCCCCTTCAGAGCGCGCTACGTGCCGCTTGACACAGGCTTTGGCGGTCAGATCCTGCCCCGCTCACTGCCAATCGGCCGGAGCTGTCCACGTTTTAAGCATGAAACCTGTAGCAGGACCCAGGTGCAGCCTGGGGCCTGCTTCTCCAGTAGCCCGTCTCCGGCCCTGGAATCGGCGAGATGCTAGGGGAAAGTGCCCTTGAACATGTGCAGAGTGTTTCCTTCCTTCGCTGCTCTTTAAAACAGGCAATTGTACGACCCACCCCCCGCAGCAGAATTTGATTGGAAGGGGCGGCGGAGTGGGGGGGGCAGGGGGGCAGCTTTGTTTCTTAACAGCTTGCTCAAAGTAAGCTAGCAGTCAGGATACAGGTGACCTGTAACAAGACCTGCGAGAGGAGGTAGCTGAGTCTCTAGAGTCCATGGATAAAATATATTATTGCATGTGCAGTGGAATGGAATGGCCTCGCATGAGAAGCATAAATTAGGGCAGATGAAGCGGCACCCGCTTGACGTTTTGGACTACAACTCCTATCAGCCCCAGCCAGGATGGCCAAGGAGACATTCTTATAAAGAGTCAGATACGGCATAGGGTCCCATCTGAGATCAGATGTCAGGAATGGGCTGCTGTTTACTGAATTTGTAACAAATGCCAGAACATTTCTTAGATGCTGTGTGACAAACGTGTATGAATTCATGACATCTCAATGTGAAAATATCTTTGGCTGAATTAATCACAATATCATGGTAGAGATGCTTGTAGTACGCTTTACTTTAGTGGTAATCTATGAATTGTTACATTGCTATGCATGGATAGCTTTTTCAGCTGAAATAGACCAAAAAAAGCAATGTGGATTATTGCTTTGTTGGTATTTATGTTCTAGTGTGATTTAGGATATAATCATGAAACATGTATTGATGACCATGAGATCTTTTTGGAAATATTATTTTAAATAAAAATAAAATGATTTAAAACATGTATGTCTACTATCTGGATACATTTCAAAAGGAAACATTCCAATGTTTCTTTGGTGGGATATAACCACCTCATGGAAATTGCTTACTTGTTTGTTCTGCTCACAACAGTTAATGTAACAGAAATGTACTTGTTTTCCCATCCATTGCTAGATGGTATACATTATTAAAGCCCCAGCCCTTTCTATTCAAATCCCATTAGCTTACAAAGAGACATTTAAACACCAGGCGAGGATGGGGCAGGGAGTGAAGGAGAAAGGATATGGAAATCCTGATCTCCCTGCCCCTGATTATGCTGGTTGGGGTGGTCCCAAGTTGCCCCCCTGGGGCCATCGTTCCTGGTATATTAATACCTTCGCCTTGCTGGTTCCTTGAGATAAATCCCAAATCTGTGGTAGGCATGTGAGAGAACTGGACTCTCAGCATCATGACACAACCAGGTGAGTAGGATCTTGCAAGGGAAAGGGCCTAGAGCAGAATAAGGTGCGCTTTGGAATCTAGATCTTATAATGAGCATGTATACAAGGATTCCACTGTTCCAAGGGGAAGGGCTCCATCCCTAAGAATTCTGGAGGGAGTGCTTGGGGTATCATTTTTCCATTTCAAAAATTGGTGGATTCCATGCTCATGTGCAAAGACTCATGATATTGCCTTCTTTTTTACCCCCTAGGAAAGTCTGTTTAGTAATTTCAACTATCTCGGGCGGGTGAGTGACAACTAATGTTCTCGGTGATGCAGGATCACCCCATTATTTCAGCTGCAAAATCTGGTGTTAGGGTTCCCACTATCCAAGAAAAAGAGTCCCGTGCATCAACCTAGCTATTAGTAGGAGGCACATTGCTTCCAAGTAAAGCACCTGTGTTGCAGGACACAATATCAATCTTCTGAATCCTCTGATCCAGCCCAGGTTAGCAAGCCTCACATTCCTCACTTTGTGTTTTTGGCCCAAAGCTTGATTTTGCAATTGCGTTACAGTATATGAAGGGCTGTACACTAGGCAGATGGGGTTCATGGAAAACCTAACAAGAGAAGAGTTTATTGATTAGCCCCCCCCCCTAAGTCTGACCCCAGCAATCTAAAATTCAAATCCATGCCCTCCAAAAACATTTCCTGTTGTGTCCATATATCTCTCATACATCTTGCAGAGAATACAAGCGTAACTGAGTTGACATTGGAAGGGGATGTTTATAGGTTTGGGGTTTGATTTTATTAGGTATGTATCGGGAAATTTTTTATGTCTGATGTTTTACAATTTTTTATATATGCTGTAAGCCGCTCAGAGTGGCTGGGGTATAAATAATAAAATTATTATTATTATTATATGTAGTATATGACTGCAGAGGAGGGTGGAGGCAGATTATTTACGCTGCAATCCTAACGGCACAACCTGGGATCATACCCCACTTAATTCAGTAGGATTTAGTTCTGAATAAACATGGTTAGGAAGCATTGCATTGTTAACCATTTGTGGAAGACAGATTCCCTGGCACTGAGCACCAGGCCGGATGAGTTCTTTGTTCCTGGGATTTTCCTCTTCGTGACAGAAGCTGTGGGCTAGTCACGCAGCTAGGTCACATTCTCCTGGTGACATGGATGTATACGATTTGTGATGGCTTGTTTTTATAGTGCAAAGGTGTTAAATTGCCCAGAGCTTTTCCACACTACAGCTGCAGCTGAATCAAATGCAGAACAAGGAACCAACTCTAACATCCTAACATTCTCCTTTGGAAGTCATGCAGCCTGGCAGTGGACCACCATGAGATAAACCATGGGTAGGCAAACTAAGGCCCGGGGACTGGATCCAGCCCAATCACCTTCTAAACCCGGCCCGCAGATGGTCCGGGAATCAGCGTGTTTTTACATGAGTAGAATGTGTCCTTTTATTCAAAATGCACCTCTGGGTTATTTGTGGGGCCTGCCTGGTGTTTTTACAGGAGTAGAATGTGTGCTTTTATTTAAAATGCATCTCTGGGTTATTTATGGGGCATAGGAATTAGTTGTTGTTTTTCTCCAAAATATAGTCTGGCCCCCCACAAGGTCTGAGGGACAGTGGACCGGCCCCCTGCTGAAAATGTTTGCTGACCTCTGGGATAAACTGTTGAAAAGCACTGCCAGTTCAAAAATTTAGTCATTTGGACTCATACACTGGGCAGGCTGAAGGGACTGCATGCACTATTACAGCCCTTGTACTGAGCTGTGTGCATGCCTCTGTGTTATAAGATCCACATAGTTATATAGCATGGCGCATAGGATGTGTGTTCCTGACCTTTCTCTCTCGAGTCTATTTCTGTCTACAGTTATGTTCCCTGTAATGCTGAGCTATACCTTGCTGCACTGCAGATACCCAGCAAAAAGACCCTGCTTAGCCATGGCATCTACTATGCTCTCCAGTTCCCTGCTTTCCCTCCTCTATTTGGTGCTTCTGACGTTTGTGGGCAGTGCGGTGCTCCTTGCTGAGATGCACCAGCACAGCTCACAGAGCCGCAACGTCCATGCTTTCCTGGAGGCCCTCATGATCTCTTCCTGCGTCTGGATGCTCTGGTTTGGCTGCCACTCTTCCCGCAACAAGCAGCTGAAAAGGCACCAGGACCACCAGGCAGGAGCAAGCTGGCTAAAAGGTAGAGATGCTAACACAGATAGGATCCATTGCAAAATGCCCGTGCCCAAGCAAATTGTGCAATCCTTCAAACAACGAAGACCATCACTAGCAATGAAACCTCCTTGCCCTTCCAAAGTTTTGGCATTTCTACTAAAAGGGGACTCAGGCAAGTGAATTAGAGGAGCTGTGACACACAAGACACCATTACAGTTGAATCCTGCAGAGAAAATGTGGTTCTTGGATCTGCTGGTGTCTGACAGATCCAAGCCAACCAGAAGATATTTCAGAATTTCAGTCCACTCTGCTATTAGCCTGACTTGCACTTCATTTCATTTCAGAGAGACAGAGAACCTATTGTTATATCCAGTGCTTTTTTTCCTGGGGGGACGCATACTCCTAAACATTTTGTGAATCTCTGTACTTTGTCCATTTACTGTATTTATTTTCTCCGATCTGAACTATAAAATGGTGGTTTTCTTGAGTCAAAATGAGAGTACCTCTAAACACTTTTAAAGGAAAAAAAGCACTGGTTATATCAGCCAATTTGTTCTCACAAACAACCACTCGCATCAGCGGCCTACCCCTATTAGCATCGCAATGATTGGCAAGGGTGGGGACTTCCATGAAACCACAGATTTCTCAGTCTTGTTTCACAATTTCCCTTCCCATGCAGCTCATGTTGTTGTTTTTTAATCTGTAGTCTTATGGGTCAGTGGAGAAAGGCACTGGGGACTCACTTTGGAATTGACAGGGTGGAACTGTCAGGATGCAGATGCTTTCCTTCACCAGCAGGAAGCCTGCTCCCCTTGCTCTCTCTGGTCCCACGGTCTTGGCACTTAATATGAATGGACCTCCTGCCCCCTTCTGCTTCCTGAATAAATTATCAGAGTGCCTGCTTTCTGTGCCGCATTTGTGGTGACCGTGCTGTCTTGTCATGGCAGGCGGTCTCTCTCTCTTTGCACTGGCCACCTTG